TGGGTAACTTTGGTATGACTGGAGTTTAAATTTTGGAGTTTTATTTACTTTTGGGAAGGGAATTGTATGCACTTATAATAGACAATTTTTATCGCATACTATAAAACTCATGTTCATTCATTATTATGACAGATTTAGTTGGTAAAGTTCACCATACACAACCAACCTCTCAACTTTCTGCATGATAAGTTCTTTCATAAATAGATCTTACTATCTTAGTATCCTGGTCAAGGGACAAAGTGATGGGAATGGTTCGATTCTGTCTATTACTTAGAAGCGAAATTACGGGCAACACTACAAAGAAAAACAAGCATTCCCAAAATAATATGAAATTACAGGAATATGAAATTCGTGAATGTTCAATTTGCTGGTTGTACTACTACCTTGAAGCACAGAGGGGATCGGACTAGAAGCTGAAGGTAGGTTGGTATAAGCGTTGTTTTATGCGATTTCCAGCAAAGGGGTTATAAAGTCAAAAGGAAGCTCAAGTTTGTAGTCTTTTTGCTATGGATTCTCAAATTGGCGAGGATGAAGAGATAGGATTAGAAGGAACAAGCCACCAACAACAAAAAAAGAAAAAAGAAAAAATATCAATTGTAAATAGTGGGTAACATACTTAATGTTAGACTAAAAGTTTCTCACTCTCTCTTATATAATATTTTATTTTCTATTATTATTTTTATGGAAGGTTTCTATATTTGGATTTTTTTATATTCTCCTATCCGACTCAATCAAGTTTCATCACCTATTTAGGTGATTCAAGTGAATTTATTTATTATTTGAATCTTTTTAAATAATTTTATAATGATTTTTATTTATTGATTGATAATTTATTGATAATTTATTAAAATATTTGGGCCGAATTTTATTTATAGAACAAGGCCTCCATAATCTCAGGACCGATCCTGGTAACGTCGGAAGCCATTATTTCACTAAACGTAAATCATTAAAATAGAATCCGTGAATAAATCCTATACTAGTGAATTAGTGATTTGGTTAACATATTGTCAAGTGGTAAATAAGGCGGGAGTGTTGTCAAATGTGACAATGTCAATTTCAAATCTCAATCAAAGTATAGGGTAATATAGTTCAAAGTTGATGGGGGATGTTGAAACCCTTTATTAATTAGTGGGACTGGGGACACAATAAGAAAGTCAGTGTCGGGGAACAGTTTGCAATGGATCTCCATTTGGCCACGCTTTTAATTATTTATCACAAGCAAGTTGAAGACACCCGATTTTTCCACGATCCTTCCCAAAGGATGGATGAGTAGTTGTTTGTCCATGTATGCACATGTACTGATGAGAATGAGATGCACATAATTTGCTATGTTGATTGTAAGAGTGTGTATGTGTTGTATGGTGCAAAGTATTTCCATAGTGATATCCGAATTCTCCACACCAAAAAAATAGATTACAGGTTGACGTTTCTTCACAAGACTTCTTCGGTGGTGTAGACGATAAAAGAGAGCACGAAAATGATGATGGCCGGTTACGATTATTAACTCAGTATGAATCGCCGACTAATAATTGATAAAGGAATAAAAAGAAGAACATGTTAGACTCACTGAAAGCCATTGATGAGCCGACGACGGTGAACGTGAAGAAGAATGTGGAGATGAATTCGACAAGATGTGATCGGAGAGAGCAATTACAAAGTTGGGAAGAAACAATCAATTTTCGGGTTTATATGAATATACAGAGGACAACATAAGAATAAAAAACACAATACCATGGTATTTCACAAATATTAGCCCTCCCCTATAGTATTTGGAGAATAGCACATTTGTGTTTGAAGAATAACACCCCCAATTATCATGTTACTTTTTTCCAACGAAAGATAGTATTTGATTTCAAATCCCAAATTACACGAAAATGGAACTCAAATACCACACCCCAAATGTGCATTCCAAAAGAGCAATGGCAGGTGCTTGCATGTGAGAAATTTTTAGATTCGAATCATTCTAAATGATGAATTTGTTAGCTGATAGAGAGTTTTGTGCAACTATGTATTTGTGTGTATCGATTTATGTGTGGTGCATTGCATGTGTTATGTGCGAGAACATGTGAAACGTTGACATTAACAAGCATCATTCATTGTAGTATATCCTCGCTCCAAAAAAAAATTAGTCACAAAAAAATTATATATTTGATGAAACTGGGCAAATTATATATTTGAGTATACATTATATTTAGTTACAAAAAAATTTCTCAAGTATAATAATTAAAATTTGATGGAATTTAAATTGACAGGGATGGAGTTATTTAGTAGGAAAAAACCAGAACTTCAAATAATAAACTTCACAAAACCAGAACTTAAGAGGGAATAAAGTCGTTATCTTGAACTTCTAGTTTAAGCTTCGGAAAGTCTGAATCAATACCCTTCAATTACATTATAAGAAACCAAACTTTATATTCTTATCTTTCATAAGGAAAGGAAAAGCTTTTTTATTTTATTTCTGAATCGCTATTCGTCGCCCTAAATTTTGAAAATTTACGCCCTAAATCATACTGAATTGACGTTTATACCCTAACGCCAATTTCCATAATCTCTGCCTGTTCTGTCGTCCCGCCGCCGCTCGATTGCTGGCCTCTGCTGCCGTTCCCCATACCCGTCGCGGCTCCCATTCCCCGAACCCACTATATATCGTTCTATCTCCCCACCGCTTACGTCCCTCTCAATTTCCAAGTTAATTATTCTTCTTCCCAAATCCATTTCCCTTTCCCCATCTCCCGTCAATTTCCAGGTTAATTTATTATTCTTCCCAAAAGAAGGAAGCAAAGGCGAAGAAAACCCATTTCCCGTTCCACTGCCTGTCGCTGTTGCTGTCGACAAAAATATCTGTTGAACTTCCCAATCATCTTTTTCTGGGCTAAGGATAAGGACGCTAGAAATGGGTTGAGTTCCCGTGCGAGAGATGGAAGGAACCGGTATTCTATCCGTCTAGACTTCTCGGCCCGGCCTCTCTTCCCATCGTTGGGATTCATTGAATGTGATCGGCGGTTGGAATGGAGAAGGAGGAAGGGAATGGATCAAAATCTAATGAGAAGGGTAGGAGTGTAACTTTACTATAGTTTAGGGCGACAAATTCAAATATCTAGGGCGACGAATAGCAACTCCCTTTTATTTTGGGTAAATGCCAAATTTGATCACTGGATTGACTAAAATGTGTCATGTTTAGTCATTGGAAAAAATCAATATCAATTTTGATCACTCGAATTAGTAAAATGGTCCACGTTTAGCTAATTCGAGTGAGTGACTAAACGTGTACCGTTTAACTAATTCGAGTGGCCAAAATTGATATTAATTTTTTCAGCGACTAAACAGGACACGGTTTAATAAACCCAATGATCAAATTTGGAATTTACCCTTTTTTATTTTAGTAGCAATGAAGCATTGGATGTGGACGACTTGATTCAATGAAGTTTCTTTCAAGGATGTGGTGAAAGAGAAGTTAATACGCAAACTTCCAACAAGTTTTCAAGTTCGTAACCTCCCTCATAGGAATCATTTATCCATTGAAAATATTGGTTCAATCCCTATTGGGTGGACGACTCCACTACTCAATCATCTATGTTCAATTTGACATCCCTTCACGAGTAATCAATAGCACATCTATTCAATCATCATGGAGTTCGATTTCAAATAAAATATTATCACCAATTATTTCAATCGGATAGGGACGATTTAATGTTGTTAACCTAGGAGAAGCTCTCATGTATCATTCACTGAATTTAATTAAAGTGTTCACAAAATGTCAATGCATTCATCCAACGCCTGCGGAAAGCCCAAAACATGTCCGCCAATTGAACGTCCGGTGAGCACGTTCTAACAAATGATGTTGTGAGCATTATAATCGGACTAATCATTCACCAATCATGCGTAGGTAGACCCCACCCAAACGTTGGTCTGACGAGCTTGATCTGTGGGTTGGATATGATTATCGAATACGTATTTTATAGGTTTCGAGCTAACAAAGAGAGAGAAGAACTCTTGGGCTAGGCTGACATCTTGAATACAGCTACTCCTAAAGTTAGCCCATTTCCAACACTTGCATAAAGAGTGAGGCCCATCGAAATTGCCCACAAACCAGACGAAGAAAAAGGAGAACACTTGTCTCTTTGAAGGAAATTTTCCTACTATACCATAAAAAATTTATAAACATACCACCCATTTTCAAAAAATTCCAAAAACACCACTCTTTCCCATAAACCACCACCCCATCCCGCAGTTACATGGTGTTGAGGCGTTCTGATAAACCGCGGGGGAAGCGCGGTTAAGGTGAAAATCGCCCCCACCCAATGGTTTGCATGAATTTTTTTCCAATCAACGGCTAACTTAGGCCGAAACTTCAAAGGAACGTAACTTTGCGCTTGGGTATCCAATCGTAGCAATTTTTTTGATTCCACATAACTTTTTGAGATATCGCAAAGTTATGTTCTTTTGGAATTTCAGAGTAGGTTAGGTGTAACATCCTGAACCTTTTCATGACGTAATATTGCCCGCTTTAGGCCTCCACCCTTACGGTTTTCGGCTTGTGGTGCAATTCAAGGTGACTTCCCATAAGGTCACACATCCTTGTTGTACTCCACACTGAGCATGTTTAACTTCAGAATTCTCACAAGAACTCCTCCATTTCACCCCAAACGTGTCTTGTCAGTTAAGATCAGTTTCTTAATTATGAACCATATATCTCTCCTGTGCTTTGTCAATGTGGAATTCGCCTAAGGTGTTACATTAGGCATTAAGCGGAAAAAATATACACAAATCGCAGGGGGACCGGCCGCAGCTACCTCTCGCGGTCAATCAAACTGCCCAGACCCGTTGCAGTTTTTAGCCGGCAAGAACAAAAATCGCGGCCCCCAACGATTTTCGTGTAAACCGCGAGGTGGGGTGATGGTTTATGAAAAAGAGTGGTATTTTTGAAATTTTTCGAAAATAAGTGGTATTTTTGAAATTGTTTTTAATGGGGTATTTCTGGAAAATTTCCCTTTTGAAAGGGCAGGCTGAGGCAACAGACTGCGGAAGAACGCTTCCAAGATTGAAATTTGAAGTCCCCCTCCCCAGGCTCGGAGAAGAAGAATTGGAATGAAAATGAACCCTCTTATGTGGCACAAAGTAGCTGGCGTTTCTGGTACTTACCTTTCTCTTTCATCTCCATTTCCGTCAATGGGTTGAGCTCATAATTTCAGTTCAAGGTCTTGATTTTGGGGGATCGTAATTTCAGGGGTAGCTGCCCTCGCAATGGGCACTTATGGCGCCCACGCCTTTAAACCTAAAAACCCTGCTTACAACGAGGTATCTCTTCTTCTCCTTGTCCATCCATTATTCTAATCTTTGACTCGATTATGAAGAATCCAGCGTTTTTCTTTCTGGCGGGGAAGAACTGAATTTCGGACTTCTGGTAACGGTGATTCGATTTGTGAATTTAGGTGTGGAGGACAGCTTCATTGTATCATTTAGTTCATACTGCTGCCCTTGTAGCAGCTCCTATGACCAAATATCCCAACTTGGTAAGTTCCCCAGTAGTTTTGGATTTGGGCATATGCTGCTGTTTTCCCCCCAGTAATATCTGTTGATTCATACCAACTGGTAAAATATTGCTTCTTGATAACATTTGATATCTCCTTTCAGTTTGGAGGACTATTAACTACTGGAATTCTTGCATTTTCCGGAACGTAAGTAGCAGTTCTTCTTCTCCATTGATGATAATCTTTGCTTCAAGGGAAGTGTGATGCCCTTGTTCTGATAAAGCCACTCTGGTGTTAAGTTCCTAAGTGCTTAGTTCGTTAATTTTCAGCCAAGTTAAATGCGAAAGCCTTTAAACTGCACCGTTCTCTTTAGATATTAAAGTTTCTTCAAGAAACTATATCAGCTGGTATGGATCAGTTGAGCTGGCTAAGTTCCTTGCAGAACCACAGGATAATTTACTTGCATCTATTCAGTAAAGATTCTGATTAGTTGATTGCTGATAGGCTGTTAACAACTAGAGACTTATAAGTATCTTCTTTAATTAGTAAAGTATTTGTCATTAATCTGGAACGGCTGGTATGGATCTCAGTTGAGCTTGTTAAGTTGCTTGCAAATCTGTACCACTATGTGCTCTGCAGACTGCAGTTGGTCATTAATGATGCTATTATATGATTCACTGCCTCCATTTTTGAATCTCTCGATCCTCTTTTAGACTTCCGAGTATCTTCTTCAAACACAGTTTATGACAGTCTAGTAATGTTCATGACTTGCTTTCTTCTTAGAGAACATGCCCTATCAACTTAACATGTTTTAATTACGCTAAGCTTATAAAAAAATTTGGTGTTATTCTGTCTCCAGGTGTTATACCGTTGCATACTTGGAGGACCGATCGTATGGAAAGGTAGCTCCATTTGGTGGCTTTGCATTCATTGCTGCTTGGGCGAGCTTGCTTTTCTGATGGAAGTGGCTGCTTCAGATCGACTCAGAACTTGTCTTCCAAGTTACTGGCACCGTTTATGTAAAGCTGGATTTGAGCAAAACGCATATGCCATCACCTCGACAGATAACCAACCGATATATATGTGCTATATGTAGGAGATGGGGATATTTTTCTTTCTGTCCTTGTTGATGTAATGCATGAGGAACTCCAGGATGTTCTTGATTGTTTATATGGTGAAACCAATGCAGGTGGATAAATATGGTTGTCTTGTTGGATTTCTCTAGCTTACTGGTTGCATAATTGACCCTTGTGTTCTTCATTTTTTTCTGCCTGTTTTTTTTCTTTTCTTCTCCCTGTCATAACGACTTATACGGTGAAGAGAGATCAATTTTGTCAGTCCGTTTTGTAATTCATCAAAAGCACGTTTGAAAAAGAAATCAACTGTAGCGATAATTGGTGCTAAAACTAGAAAAACGGCGATAAGTGAAGCCTCAAACGAGGGGAAAAGGCGACCAACAGAAAATTCATTACTGAAAAATTTGAATCTATAACGTCATGATCAAATTTCTTCCTCTGGGTAGACATAAAGAATGGAGCAAAGGAATTCCCCCTCTCCGTCTGCTTGGCGTTGGATTACGGAATGAACTCGTACTGGCAAGAGTTATAACCTGCAGTAAACAAAAAGTCAGTATGGTATGGTCTGACTCAAGTAGAATTTACTGCATATCTATGATCAAAATGTCAGATCTATGATTCTATCATCTCAACCTAAATCAATGCATCGAAGATCAAATTCTGAGAAGAGAATTGAATTGAATAACACAAATCTGACTGTTAGCGTAAAGCCAAAGTTTTCGGTTCTAGGTGATGACTTCCTGTCTCATCTCACGTTGTTGAGATGGCTGACCTACTTCTCTCATCACATTGGACTATCCCTACTGCATTTCTGATCGCACACACAAGTTTAGCTGATACACTCTTCTGCCAAAAGAAGCAACAAAACCAGAAAGATTAAATTCCTTGTAACAGGACTTACTTGGATCAAGGTCAGTGACAATGGCGGCTCCATTGAAATAACAAGATCCACCACTGTTCTTGAACTTCTGGAAGTAGCTGTTGAAGGCATAAGAGGCATGGTCCTTGGTTGTGTTGGGCCAAAAGCAGGCCTGGTTCAACTGAATCTTACTGCAATCTGCACCCCCTTTCCCACAAGCCCAATCAGTGGCTGCCTGCAGCTCATTGTCTGGTGTTTGTTCATCTGCTACACACCATTGCTCCATCTCCCCATCTAATCCCAAAAAGAAACAAGCTTTTTAGCACTTCCAACTTGTAAGAAAATTACCCATTTGAGGTTTGGCTGAAAATTGAAACAAGTAGTGAGCAACCTACCTGATATCTGAATGGCTAATGAGATAAGAAGCAACAGTATGGCAACCAGCAGCCTCTTGTTGAAAGATGCCATCTTGAGGTTGAGGGCAGAAAGGCCGAAGCTTTGTTTCCTTGCTTTCTTTATATATAGAAACAACAAAAGGTGATGGGGTAGACACACAAATAAAATGCAAGGGTGGAGTTATATGTGAACAGTGGCACATGTAAGCATGCAGGGGATGAGGTGCGATCTAGATGAAAGCAGATCCAAATAAGCTGATGAAATCGGCTATGTGGGTCCCATCTCCAGGGAACCTCCATCAATCCTGCAGCGATCTACTGAAAGTTCTCTTCCTTGTCTCCTTTTCACTCTCGTCCAAAAGTTCCCTTCATTCACACAATGAATATTACAAAACACCCCACATTGATCTGTAAAGCCGGGAAAGGCAGTTCTCTATTAAACTGAAATCTAACCAAACTTGTATACTATGTAGAGATGAGGATTTAGGTACAATTCACATACACAGAAGAGTTGCAATATACAAGATGGATGTGCTTATAGCATACCGCATACGTACAAACTACACTGCCCGCAAGAGCGCTATGATATATCAATTCTAAAGTTAACACTTCCGTACTTCTTTTCTCAATATGGAGCTCCGATGAAACTGGTTTTCCTGTTTCATTATATACTTCTCAGAAAGGCAAGGCAGGATGAGACACAAGTTAGGATGTCAAACAGCCCATGTTCTAGGCTACAACTACACAGATGGTTCATCCACTGGACTTCGGATTGAACTTTGCAGAAGACAAACCGATCAAGCGTTGTGATTGCAGGCTAAGGCAAAAGCTGTGAAGACGCACAACATTACTGGTTTAGCGGTATGGCTGAACAACACACTGCAGAAGCACTGGGAGAGATTGATTCGATTGTGGGATGACAATTCTATAAGTAGCCTTACCTCTCATCAATAGCCTATAGCGTTGGGGACCTCTCATCCATTAATTGATCAAAATGACTTTGGGTTGCCATTCCAACGAAATCGATTAGCCGAGTATATAGACACCATAGGCACTGCAGTCAACCACTCTGGCCACTAGACTCGAAGAAACGGGCCACTGCATTGTACAATTGTTCCTCTTTAAATGGCTTTGCAACAAAATCATCCATCCCGCACTTTCTACACTCCTCACTTGTTGCCTGAATCACATCAGCCGTTATCGCCATTATTGGTGTATGCCAACATGGCTTATTTCCATACTTCTCGATTGACACTTCACCAGATGCGAGTTGCTCATTGATCCGAGTCTCCCTAGCTCGAATATGCCTTGTAGCTTCAAATCTGCATGAAATACGAAACGAAAAATCAGCCTAACAAGTAAAAAATTGATTTATGTAAGAACTTAAGCTAACAGAGTGGATTATGATTTTTACCCGTCCATTTCGGGCATATGGCGGTCCATGAAGCAAGCATCAAATTTGTGTGGTGGTTCAAGCAACTCTACCGCAGCTCTCCCACTGCAAACACAGGTGACTATAGCTCCATACCTCTCTAGAGCACCCTGTGCCACCCTCCTGTTTACAACATTGTCATCCACCACCAAGATATGCTTCCCTCTCAGCAGATTCTGAAGATTCGTCGGTTTCTTTTTTCTGACTCGACTCTTCTTACCACTTCCTAGGGCTTCTTGCAAGCAAACCATTAAACCGCCTAGCCTAAGAGGCTTCATAAGCACATCATCTATCAAGCCAGCTAATTTTAGCTCATGGCGTTCATCAGGAGCTATTGCAGTAGCCAAGAGAATGATTTTGGGAAGGTCTGCTTCAAACTCTACAATTCCATTTCCACTTGGGTCCCTCAAAAAGCGATGCACCGCGACATCCTTTTCTTCATCCCAAACATCTTTGTCGATCAGGATCATGGATAGACCAACTGGAGCACTGATAGATACAATAAACACCACATAAGAAAAGAGGACAAATAGAAAACCGAAATATAATTCCATTTTCAGGTAGTTTGGAAAGAAAAATCAATCTATATGAGGGGTATTTTTTGACTTTGGACACATTGGATTTGGCAGATGATTGTGACTCAGTGCCACAGTGGTCACAGACCCAGCAAAAGCTGACGGTCCATGAATTCAACCTACAATAAACGCTAATGGCTAAACTAGAAAAGAAATTACATTCCTAGGGGGAATTTATCAGATTCGAGAACTAGAAGAGGAAAGGCGACTAAATTCATGGGTATAGATGCAAATTTATCATTTGATAAACGAATAGCCTGATCCGATGTCAGATGCCTTGAGAAAAGTAGATGTACCTTGCACCTGATGTAATACCACCAGACAGAAAACAGCATGCAGCTTTCAAAGTTGAAGCAATGTGCACTGATATTCCCAGCCTCTCAAGATGATATCGAGTGACCTCAGCTCGTATGCATTTTTGATCAATCACCAAAGCTTTTGAGCCTCTAAACTCCACAGGAGTTGCATCACAACGTTGCCCCTTAGCATCAAGGGAACTCAACTCCCCTTTTCTGAGACAAACAGTGAAGGAGAAAGTGCTTCCAACATCACATTCACTAACAAAACCAATCTCGCCTCCCATGAGATCAACCAAACGCTTGCTAATACTCAATCCTATTCCAGTCCCACCATACATTCGTGAAGTCGAGCTGTCAGCTTGCATGAAAGGAGTGAAAATGCGGCTTTGTGCATCTACTGGAATACCAACACCTGTATCCTCGACTGTAACTAGCAATCTAATCGTTGATGAGTCTCCGATATCCACTCTATCCAAAATTTTGAAATGTTCCCAACTTTTCCATCTGTTGACCACAAGAGAGCCGCTTAGTGTGTTGTATGGCTTGCTTGAGGTGTCTTGAGCTAAGCCAAAACTGAGTTTCAGAACTGGATCTTGAACCTCAACTGGGCTTATCGTTACTTCATCAGCAAGATGGACTGACACAAAGATGTGCCCCTTGTCACGTGTAAACTGAACAAAAGGAAGCAAACAGTAGTTGGTTTAGCAAATGTCTGAATAAAAAATGATCTAATTGTGTTAAGGAATTTGGTCAATACCGACCTTGACTGAATTGCCAACAAGATTAGTAATAATCTGCCTGAACCTTCCAGGATCGCCTATGACCACTTGAGGCACTTGATCAGAGACATAAATGGCCAACTTCTCTCAAGCAAAACGAAAACCCAAATGTAAGTCATAATCAACGATGTAAGACGAAAATGCATAACAATGAAAAGGGGGTTCCTTGGATTACCTCAATTCCCTTTTCACTGGATTTTCCAGAGAAAAGAGAGAAAACATTGTCAAGAACAGGCCTCAGTTCAAAAGGAACAGCTTCCAACTCTAGCCTCCCTGATTCTATCTTAGCATGATCAAGGACCTCATTGATCAAAGAGATTAGTTCTGTCCCACTACGATGGGCAGTCTCAGCATAGTCAATTTGCTTGTCATTAAGCTCGGTATCCATCAGCATTTGCAACATGCCTAAAACACCATTCATCGGAGTCCTGATTTCATGTGAAACGGTTGCAAGGAACTGCAGGAATAAAAGGACAGGATTCCTCAATTGTAGGCACTTAGAATCATTAAAAGAATTTTATATTGTCATTCCTAAAACAAGGAAATAAACCTGAGATTTTGCCACATCAGCCGCTTCTGCACGAACTTTGAGTTGTGTCATCTCACGAAATTCCTCCTCAACCTTTTCAATCTTATTTATGGCTGCATTACATATATATGAAACAAGTAGAACAATAGCAAGGATTACGGTTGACGAATCAATTGCTGACGTAGGCTCGGGAGGTTTTTGCTTGAACCTGCAGAAACCGGCAGCAACAGAACGAAATAAAATTAAAATCTGTGGAGATGACTTATGGGCAACCGTGCCTTGTTTTATTGTTCTTTCAAGCTTAGTTCTTTCCCACTAACCTGCAGTGCATTTCATGCTTCCTCATTGGGTCCCCAAAGTCGAGGTTGCTTGCTCGGAATAGGCTCATGTCTTCAGCGACATCAGTGCCATACATAAGAATGGGAGCAGACGCATTAGTCGTGTCATAAACATTTACAACAATTGTCTGCCTGCTGGCAAGTTGGTGCAGGAGCTTCTCCACCAGAGATGGTACATCATAAGAAGCCCCAAGGTACCTTCATAACAAAGTGGGTCACCGCATACAAGTTAGTTCTACATTGACCAGGACGAAACAGTAAGGATAAAACATCAAATAACTGATTCTTCAAACAGATTACCCCACAGTAGCTTCAATTCGTTGCTCCGACGTGGCATGTGGAGAAAGAGGAACATTATATACAGCAAATGTCAGTACAACTCCCAAGTTATTTGATTTCAAGAGCTTAAAAGGAGATGTAAGCACTCCCTTCCCAGATGCTCTTGCTCGCAATATGTTCTCACGGTCTTCCTATGTAAGAAGGAAGAAACGACCAGATTAAAGGAGCTCATAATGAAAGTGATGCCATCTGAAAAGGATTCCGAGACATATACCTTTCCTGACATCATGTCAATGGAGACAATATGTGCCACAGATTCTTGAGAAAATATGACAGGTGCATATTCGTCTTGAACGGGTGCAGGATCAAGCTTCTCTGGGATGCAATCCTGAACCAGCGCCTGGTCATCCGATTCCATTTTCTTTATCCTCCAACCGTGCTGTTTCTCAAACTGCTCCCTCTCCGAATGAACCACTTTTAAAGCATATGCAACCCCACTAGTGAGTGGCCTCTCAAAAGACGTTCTCTCAGCGTACTCACCAAATGTTTTCTGCAATGAAGCAATGTATTTGGATCATCAGAAATCAAGTGGTGCCATTATAAGTATAGAGGCTAGAATATATATACCTGATCAATAGCTGAAGGATTTTTGCCATGGTGGAAGGTAGATACAAGAATGGCCAAGGCATGAACATGGTTCATGCTCACATTGAACTGGTCCTGCAGCATTCGTGCTCTCTCGTCACACATGCTAGCGAGGGTCTCTTCTCTCCTTGAGTGAAACTCCCGAGACCCACTCCAGAAGGTATAAAATGACAATGCAATACCACCACAAAAAAACACCGTAAGAAACTGCTTCTTCCACCAAGTGGTGAGAGGTATCAGATTGACACTAAGGCACAGGCAGCCCACGCCAGCTAGGATCCACCAACATCTTTTCATTGTGCCAAAAACATAACCATATACAACAGAGGGGAATTCTTTGCTAGCTTGCATCCACCAACATCTTTCCATCATACCAGAAGCATAAGCATATACAACAGAGGCGCTTGTTTGCAAAGTGTTCTGTAGAAACCAAATGAGCAAAAGTCGCATAAGGATGAGCAAAGATTCAAACCAGAAAACCCTAATGTATTTCCTGCGTGCCAAATAAAGAATGAAACTGAAAATCAAGGGGTTTAGGGGCCTCTAGTTAGGAACCCAACTTTTCCACTTATCTACCATGCAGATACAGAGCTTAGGAACCCAACAAAAAATACCAACTTCTGCAAAATCTGTAACATTCAAGCCATAGAAAGAAAAAAATTGGTTTATCAGTCGTACTTGGAACCTACACTTACATCTACAAGCATTGAAACCAATGCCGAAGATGCATCTGAAATTGAGTTCTGAAGAGCAGTCTCATCCTCATCCATCAACTCCTGCTTCTTCGAGCACATCAACTTCATCGCACAAGAAATTCGATCGGTTGTTGAAGGTCCAGGTCCCAGTTCCTTGGTACATTCAAGTGAAGCTATCTGCAGCATCAAGCAAAGAGTCAAAACTCACAGAAAATCATAGCCTGATTACTGTCCTTTCAACTTCCCGAGGAAGAAACTGCAAATCGTTATCAATGGCCATGATTAGAACTATTTTTAGCAAAAGATAGAGAGTTTAGCCCATAACATTACCTTCTCCGAGTCAGAGTACAGGGAAGCAAGTGCATGGAGCTGGCTCTTGGAAACATTGAAGTGACGAACTAATTCTCCTTCACAAGAATCTGAAACCCTGTCTTTCCCATCGAAGTTCAGCGGAAACCTAATGCTCCCAACAGCCAAACCACCCAATATACACAGCAGAACGAGAAGTTTTCTCCAGCTCTTCCACTCAGAATGCAACCCATGAAAAGACGACTCATTCTGCTTCCCCATCTTCCAATGGGCAGGTAAAGAGGTCCTAAAGATAGACAGCTTGCAATCTACAGGCATTTTCAATCCACCCACGTCTGGAGTTTACTACAAAGAAGCCCATGTCATAGAAAAAGATTCCTCAAGATGCCTGCTTTCAGAAGAAACTGAAAAAGAAAGGAAGTTGCAAGAATCAAAAAGAAATCAGCCGTACTGGGTAGTAAGACTTGAGTCAAGAAAGCCAAATGTAGTGGTCCTTCTCCTCCTGGACCTCCTCCATTTCTCTCTTGTTCAATTCAGCTGCCATCAAAACAAGCACGTCACTTTCTGAAACGGGGAGCAGGTGAAACGGGAAAAGAGAGGGGTTTGGGGGGGAAAGAAATCAATGATGGCCCAAGAAGCAAAAGAATGGAGGGAATCATTCATAACCCCAGTAGTTGTTGAACTGAAAGGAAGAGAGAAGAAAAAGTTAAAACAAACCTGCGGGCAAAAGGGAATCATTGAATGAGGTAAGAATTGGATTGGCTTTGTTTTTATCTATAGATCTCTTATTCACAGCTCTGTGGTACCCGAAAGAGGAGCATCAAGTTTGCAACTTTGAGTAAGAGGGTGGAAGAAATAATCAGAAGAAGAAGAAGAAGACTCACAGCTGGAATCAAAGGGGTTTAGTGGGGACTCTTCTTTTCATGGCCTTACTGGCTACTGCTGATTAGTTGTTAGTGCTCTTCCACTCTCTCTCATTTTCTCTCTGCCTCTCTTTCCTCACTGTTCAATTGAGGGAGCAAAATTTCACCCAGGGGGGTTTTTGGCTACACCATTTCATTTCATTATTATTATTATTATTATCTAATCAGCTCTGAAATTTGTAAAGGGGTAAAAGGAAAAGAGAGAAAAAAACCACATATGAAACCCTTCAACATCCAAATTTTACCCCATGGAACCCAATTATTACGAGTAACTAGTGGGTTTCCTTCCTCTATTCCCCGCCCTTTTTTCACATATAAAGTAGGGAAGTAAAGGCAAATAGTTTTGGTGGGAGCTTTGAAAGTGACTGCTCCGTCTCTCAGTCAGGACTCAGGAGAGAGGGAGGGGGAAGTTTGTTTTCTTTCCCCGTCTTCTGTTGGTTGGGTCATGTGTGGGTGTAGCTGTAGCCGCAGATGCTATAGCCCAGGGCCGGCCTCTCTAGTCTCTAGTCTCTACTAGTCTGAGTCCAACTAAACCAAGTTCAGTTTTGTTTTGTTTAGATTTGTATAGTTAATAAACGAGCCGAATGCGAATTTGATTTATTTATAAACGAGTTGAGTTTAGTCGAACTCAAGTCGGCTCATTTTTTAAAATTACTTCACTTATAATTAAGATTAGGAGTTCAGCTCGAGTTTAGCTCTATGATAATTTATATAATTATATATATATGGTGGCGTCTTTGGCGCACTCACTTTTTTGGGTGCATTCAGTGCACTCGCTTCATAACCGTCATTTTAAACTTGCGATTTATGTCAAAATGATGTCAATCATCACTTATGATGTGATGAACAATAACGCACATGAATTTGCACAAAAACCTCTAAAGATTTACTTTAATTTGAATGATTTAGAATTTAGAGATTTAGGGTTAGGGTTTACAATTTGGGGTTTAGGAATAGAACTCAAAATTGGAGGTTTAGGGCTTATGATAATTCACTAATTAGTTGTTATAATATGTTATACCATCATATTACACTAATTCTACAAATTAAAATTCAAAATTCGATACCTTAAAATTAGTTTTTGAGTTGGGTGCATTGAACGCACGCATTTTTGTGAATACACCAAAGTAGTCACCTATATATATACCATCATCTAATGATGGCTACCTACATGATCGCTTCGGATTTGTTTCTGCTAATTAATACAGCCACAAACGAGTCACTTCCCTTTTAATGTACTAACTAATAATAACTATTATTGTTATTAATTATTCACATCGATCATTGAAGGTGGTTAATTAATAATTATATTATTTGAATTAATTCCAATATCGTAGCGTTGAAGGGTCTCTACTCATTGTTCTCCAGTACTCCCTTGGTGACAAAGACATATACACAAAGACAAGATGTTCAAAGATCATTGAGTCAAATCGTATCTCACCCGATATTTATGGACTTTTGTTGTTTTTTGTTATAGTTGTGATTAATAATTTTTTGGCTTACGTACCCACCAAACGGGTGAAGATTTGGTGAATAAAGAAAACTATTATGATAGAGGGTTAGTTTGGCTTTGCTATAGTTTTGCATACACAATTTTTGGTTCGAGTTTTTAGAGAAGTAATTTTTAACAAAAACTAGTTCAGTTTTTGAATGAAAGCTATTATAAGTGTTTTTTTTTAATATAAGATATTATGTAAAACGACTAAAATAAATTTATAATATAAAATATGAATAAAAATTTATAAAAAATAAAAAGCAGTAAAAAAGGATATTGATACGTCTCTTTTATATTACATAATAATATTTTTTAAATTTATTTTTTAATATAATATAATTGAAAGAAAATTATATTTTATTAAATAAAATTAAAATATGGTAAGGATAATATTGTATTCTCAAAATAGGTTTCGCAGAAGCTCCAAATCGGAGCTTCTGCTTTTTTGTTATACAAAAGCACTATACAGCTTTTCAAAACCCAAGTTTTTAAAGGTATTTGGCCCTCCTCCGACTTTTGAAGCAGAAAATTATTTCTAAAAATTGGACCAAACATAGGCATAACTGGCTTTGGATTTGCTTCAAGTCTAAATAAATAATTAGTGGAAGCCAATGTTGTTCTAACTCTATAAGGATTTGCACCATTGCACCATTTTAATTGCTAATTATGGTAATTTATGCAGTGCATTCGCACAAAGGAGTGTACACAATGCACCTAATTTTAAAATTAGATTTAAGATAATGAATTATGAACCTTTATTGGAAGCATTAGTCTAATATGATGCATGTAACGTAGGATCACACACAATCAGGGCATTACCCTAAACCCTAGACCTTCAATCATAAATCCTAAACCGCAAATTATAAATCCGTAATCGATAAACCCTGAATCCTTCAAATCAAGGTAAATCTTGAATGATTTTTGTGCAAATTCATTTATTTTCTTGTCCATCATCACAAAGTGACGGTTGACATCGTTTTAACATAAAATGCAATGAAAGTTATGAGACGGATGCATAGCACGCACCTAAAAAAGTCAGTGCACTAAATACAAAACCTAGTAACCATACTTTAAATTTATAATCTTGTCTTTCTCATACTTGAGGTTTCCATGCCTCATGTGCACACAATTAAGAGGCTCTAGAATATTCTAATATAAATAATTAAATATAATCAGATATAAGGGTCATTTTGCACGTGGGAGGTGTTGATCCAAGCATTCGTTGATGAGTTCTTCCCTTCATGGAAAACCGATGAGCTAAAAGACCAAATTGCTTGATTCTGACAACGACCTCATGAGTCATTGTACGAATCATACGAGGGATATCAAGGGTTGCTTCATTCTTTCCCTCATCATGGGTATGCACAAGAACAAGTGACCAACATTTTTGGCAAGACCCTCGACATAAACACCTTGATAGTTGATGGTGAATCAAGCTGCTAAAGGTGACGTGTCTCAAATGATGATATAAGTCGAGGCTCTAACTCCAGGACTTAAACAATCAGAAATGCAACAAAGGTAGATTAGAAGCACAACAATAACAAAGCGGATAATAACCCAAACCAAATCCACACGTCTGGAATAGGGCCAGGTATACGAAGGACTATTCGACTAGGGTGATGAGCTAGCAAAAAAGTCGGTTTCCTCTTGTTGAATCTATTCACGATCAAGAAAGAAGAAGAAGAGAAGTTGGTGATCAAACGACCAATTCTAGGGTTTGATTTCTGAACTAAATTGTTTATTACCCTCTAAAGGACTTAGTTCGGCCCTTATATAGGCTGCAAAGCTTTTGGGCCAAAAATAACAAAGAACCCGAGTTTTGGTGTAAAAGTCACATAATCTGCAAATGAAACAAAAAAACTCGTCGATAACAGCCGACCCAAAATACCCAACCTCCCCTCTCAAATATCCGGGCGGGTATTTAGGCTTCAAGGACGGGGGGTGTTCTGCTCGTGCTACCCAGTCGTGGCCTCAAATTACCCGCTCGGGTCTTCTCCTCCATGGTCGGGTTTTTGGCCTAAAGCAACCCCAACTCCAATGATCATCACTTCTCGTCCCACGAACAAGTCGACCTACATATTGGTGAAGTTCTGGGCCAAATAAGCTTGAAGTCGACCCTTGAATGTCTTGGCTTGACTTCTAGTGATCGAACCATGTTCCTCTCGCACAAGAGTTGGACTTGAGATTGCCTTGGTGTTGATGCGCTCATCATCCCTATCCACTTGAAAAGGATTTTCCCTCAAATCTTATTCGTCTTCAAGAAAAGGAGCTAAGTAAGCAACATTAAACGTAGCACTCACACCATACTCGCTCGACAGATCATTCTTGTAGGCATTGTCATTGATGCGGGCGAGGATTTGAAAGGGACATCTTCATGAGGCAGCAACTTTGAACGTTGTTGATGGGGAAAACGTTCCTTCCTCATGTGCACCCAGACCCAATCTCCTGGCTCGAAGTGTTAAGGACGCAGATGCTTATTCACGTTCTTCAAAAGCTGCTCTATCTGTCTCTCTATGTTCAGTCGCGCCTTCTCGTGCAAACCTCGAACAAACTCTGCTTTCTTCGCACCATCTAAATTCACACGCTCATTGATAGGTAATGGAGACAAATCCAATGGGGCTAAAGGAGTAAATCCATACACAATCTCAAATGGTGAAAATTTAGTAGTAGAATGAACAGTCCTATTATATACAAACTCTACACGAGTTCGTCAGAGTGTCGCCGAAGGCTCATCGGATATCGGCCACCTCGGGAAAATTTGAGACGAATTGTCACAAAAAATTGGCGAAGGTGCGCCCGGGAGTGGTGATTCTAGGTCTGTGCTTGGTTTTGAAAATGGGTGGCCGGAATTCGATGAAAAACAGCGGAATGTCGCGGTTTTTCGAAGAGTTTCAGAGGATTATGGCGATGGGGTGGACGTGATGTGAAGAAGAAGGGTTCTCGCCCTTATATTGCCCGAGCCGAGGTTCACGGATGGAGGCTTCTATTCACGTTCGCTAAGACCGTGAACATAACTCCCAGATCGTGATCTCGAGCCAAAACGGTGTGTTTCAAATTTTCTGGAACTGTCCTCGTTCACGGTCTCCACCCTATTATCATGGTCCTGGTGTTTCTCCCATAGCTTTCTCCCATTGAATTTCTCCCGACAGTTTTCATTTGCTTAATTTGTTTAGTTTACTTTGCTTTTAGAAATTAGTCTCATTAAACTATTTTCACTTATAGTTTGCTCTATAAAATTGATAGAATATAAGGTTGAACCAATCCCTGAGAGACGATACCTGGACTTCTGGTTTACTACGAGACTAGATTAAGGCATATACGCTTTTGCCCTATAAGTGAGTAGTCCGGTCGAGACTTGTTTTGATTTGTGAACAGGGTGAAAACTTTTCATTTGCACGTTCTTGATGCATTCGAATGTCATTTGTGGGGGATGCTGGTATTGCTTGTGGCGGTTCATGCGTTGATGTCCAATAGCCATTGAGATTCACCACTTTTTGCCTTTTGATTTGTCCCCAAGTTATTTTGATAGGTTATCACCTTGGTTGAAAATGTTTTGCTTAGGGACAAGCAAATGTCTAAGTGTGGGGAGTGATTCGGGCTTAATTGTACACTTTTTAGTCCCGTTTCCTTAGTCGTATGAGGCATTTATGCTCTAGGAGGTTTGGTT